TCTTTTATCTCTTGTATGTATATACTCCTTTCTTTAAAAAATGTAAAATATTTTTAATTTTTTTGAGATGTAATTATTATTTTTTTTTAAGTGTTTCTATTAATAAATAATTTTATATTTATTGTATGGCGTTTAATAAGGGTAAATATGAAAAGATAAAGTTAGTTTAAAAGTAAGTAACCACTTTATTGAGGGGTAAGATTCTATTAAAAATGCTTTATATTTTTTAACAGAGGGAATATGTATTATGTACATACGTATTATTTTGTCTTGTTCATGCTCTCTCAAAAGAATTTTGAATCTTACTCATTGAAAACTGATAGAGACTTTGTAGTATGAGATAGCAAGTCTTATATAAAATAGTATGGGATATTCAATAGGGTTAGTTCCATCGGGACGTTGACTTTTCATGGTGGCCAATTGATGGAGACATGATATTATGAATTTTTTTTTTTTGCTTCGTTTTGAACCAATGATGGAGTTTGATCAAATTGGAGAGGACGACAAATGCATCTTTCAATCTTGAGTCATTTGTGATTGTCAAAAAAAATCTTGAGTCATTTGCAAACAGCTCTCAAAACTTCAAGACTGGAAACTAACTTGTCCATAATTAGAAATTATGAAACAAAAAGTATATTTTCCTTCTAGAATAAGTTATTTTTTCTTCTATACTAACATTGGTCACAACTATATCATACGCTGTTCCAGAGTCTTTTTCTTTTTAAATAATTAACATGATATATTTCTTTTATTCCTAATGCCCCCTGAAAAAAAGACATTAGGTATATTTTATGATGACCCATAAAGTAATACTAGCATTATGGTATATTCTTGTTTTTGTAGATAAAATGTGTCTATGAAGATGGATTGATTGCCTTTGAAGATGGATCTTCAGTTTATGCAGATGCCATAATCCACTGCACTGGGTATCACATTATAATTATTTTTATCTTCCCTCCACACAAAAACACAGATAACATATATGTTATATTTCTATTATCAACATAAAAATCATTATATTATATATGATATCAAATGACTCTGAAATTTTGTTAAATGAAATGACAGATACAAATATGATTTTCCATTTCTGGAGACTAAAGGGATAGTACGTGTTGAGGAGGATAGAATTGGGCCACTTTACAAGCATGTGTTTCCTCCTGCTTTAGCTCCTTCCCTCTCTTTCATTGGCATGACTTCTCATGTTAGTGGTAACAAGTTTTATTTATCTTCTTGACCAAATTATTTTGTTTTCAATGGATTCTTATATAATTGAGGGATTTGATTGAGTCCTTAATGTTATTTCTTGTCCAAATCTAATTCATTGACTTCATCTAACGGTTGAAATAAGCATTTCTTTCCTCATATAGTTGAGATCAAGGTATTGAAACTGGACAGTCATTGAACTTACCAAGGTAGAGTGGTTCAAGTGTCATAATTGATATAATATAATTTAATTAAAATGTATGAAAATATTCATATATAACCTTGAAATAGAGAGAGTAATATTTAAATAAAAAAAAAAACATTTTCATTCGTAAGTGAATAGAACATTCATGTATGAATCACATATAACCCAACAAAGTAGAGCACTAAAGCAAAAATATGATGGACTGCTATTTTTTCTTTTCTTCTTATTTTTTTAAACCCAAAATGATGTCATTAAAGGCTTAGCAAGGGGTGAGGAAAAAAAAAAATGAAATTCAACATGATCAACTCACTCAAAACTCTTGATCAGACCAATTAGGGGATTAACTTACTAGTTCACCGGTCTAATTGATCAACTTAGGTTGAATTTGAATAACATGGTTGACACATATAATGCATTGGATAATTATTGGATCAAAGTTCCTCTTCTAATATTATTAGGTCAAGCTTAAGAACTAAATTTGGTGATAAAATAATCTATTCTATCTTTGGGATGCAGGAGCCTGCATTTCATATATTTGAATTACAGAGCAAGTGGGTAGCAAAAGTCTTATCTGGAAAAGTGAGTTACCTTCAGAAGAAGAGATGATGGATTCTGTTCTAAATTTCTATGAATTCTTAAAACAGAAAGAAATCCCCAAACGTCACACTCATTTCCTTCGTCCACATCAGGTATACAAATTCCTTTATACTACTTTATATCCATAAATTTAATAAAATAACAATTGAATCAAGTGAAAGAATCCTCATTATTAAATTAAATATCATATAATCATATAATTTAATATAATTATATATCTCAGGATTCAAACTTAAAATTCCATGATAAGTTAATTCAATTCTCTTGAAGAATTAAACCAAACACGCCTCAATTGACAAAATGCATCTTTAACCACATGTTGATTGCACGGTGTCACTTTATAGGATTCATTCACGTTCATCGTTTGGTGGAGTTGGAAAAGAGAATTGTTGTACTGTTTAGTTGAGATTAATACTACTTTATAAATTTTATATTGAAATTACGTTGAATTAATCATTTCATTTTTTATTCTCTATGTGGTGCCAAGAGGCAATCCTAGCATTAAGAATTCATTCATAACAGCATATTAGACCTTGTTGATCGGAGACATTTTCGATTCATAAATCAATAATTTTCTGCATCATTGTTATTTTGATTCCATTTATTATTAATTTTGTAAATAACTTGGAATGAAAATGGATGAACAGGTGGATTACAAGCACTGGCTAGCAAGGGAGAGTGGATTTGGTGCATTGGAAGAATGGAGAGAGGAAATGTTCTGTGAGATCATAAAGAAATTTCTGGAAATGCAACATTTCTACATTGACCAGTGGGACGGCGCTTTTTGGGATTCCGTCATTCATTCTTCATCCTCTTCCTCAAACACTCTGGAATTTAATCAAAATAGGAAATGGAATTAAATTTAAAAAGGGTGTTTGATATGCCGATGAAACTTTATATTTTTTTTTTTTGTATGTGCACTTATAACATTGAAAGAAACATTATTGAGTTGAATTTTAAATTACACTCATGTGAACCATAAAACATGCTTTACAAATAAAAAAAAGTGTTTACCTAAATACTACTCCCTCCGTTTTAAATTATAAAATACTTTTAAATAAAATTTCACGTAACAATAAAACTTATTAAATATGCTAAATCTTACATTTTCAAGATAAAAATATAAATTTTTAAAAATATCTTTTATTTAATACTCCATTAATAAAATAACATTGAAGAGAGAGAATATAAGAGAAGGATAATTTTAAAAAAGTATCATTAATAAAACATTATTTTTATTAAAATGTCTTATATTTTAGGAGGTTGAATTTTTTTAAAAGTGTTTTATAATTTGAGATGGAGGGAGTAATAAATTACTCAAATAAGATTCTTCTATCTATAGTAGGATCTTTTTTAAAAAGTTATATGAAATATAAAATAAGAGTTCTAGTATATATTTTGATGCACCAAAATTTTACTTAATTTTTTTTATTTAATGCATATTTTAAATAGAATTGTCCTCCTCTGTAAGCAATAAAAAAATGTTTTACTTTAGCAAAAGAGATGCATGGATCATTATATAATATTTAAATACCCTCTTATATAACATCTTCAAAATTTTTTCCAAACAATTAATTAACTCAATTATAATAGAAAAGTGTCTGTCATGACAAATATAATTAATTTTTTAAAATAATTTTTAACTTGAAACACTATCATGATAATACTTATTTATTTAATCTAATTTTTTTTACCATAACAAAATATTTTGTACCATGGTAGTTATTTAAAAAAGTATTATAAGATAGTTTTAATTGAATTATACCTAATTAATTGTTTTTAAAATTATACATTTTTTCATGTACTTATTTAATAAGTTGCTTTAATTGAACAAAAATTATTAATTAAACTAAAGATAATTTTAAAATGAAGTAAAATAAGACAAGAAAGCAAATGAAATAAGAAAAAATGCAAATTGATTTTTTTATTATTCATAAATATCTTTCTATTGAAAACTCAGGTATTAAATATAAGCATCTTTTCTAAAAAAATTTGAATATTGATTCATCACATTATAAAAGATTAGCTTCCTCCTTTATATCTAACCCACTTGAGCTTTAAAGATAGATTTAATTAAATAATATTCTTTCTATCTCAAATTATAAAATAATATTGGAAGAATTTTTTCTCCTAAAAGATAAGATAATTTTAAAAAAATTAAGGTTTCATTAATGATAATTTTTTAATATTACATTTCAAGTGAAAAAATATTAAAATGATATTATAACATAATAATTATTGAAAATGTAAATTGGTAAACTATAATGTCATTATTGTGTTTTATTGATATCCATAATCTTGTCTCAAATTATCTTATACTCTCTTTGGATCAAAATATAGGACATTTATAACTAATTCATAACTCTCAAAAAAATATTGGCCAGAATCTTAATTTCTTAAAAAAAATTATTCTTTTCAATTATATTCAAATTAAATACCCTTTAAAAATACTTTAACAATGATAATTAAAATTTTAATGTATTATTTTTTAGAAAAAGTAATAAATAAAGAAGGAATATATTTAAAAAATTAATTATTAAAGCTACTCAATATCTTATATTTTAAATTAAATAAAATTTTTATAAAATATTTTATATTATAATGGGGAGAGAATAATTGAAAATAGTAAAATTATTTTATAATTTGAGACAAAAAAATTTAAATAATATCTAATAAATAATTAGATTTAATTTTTTAAAATAGATAATTATATTTAGCTAGTTGGCCAAAAAGTTAGATTCTATAGCTTTAGCTAAATAGCTTCTTCATGGCGAAGTTTCGTCCTCATGGACTATCACCAGTTACCAATGGAGGCTATAGAATTCAGGTAGAGAAATTATTTCTGTCTTCTCTTTTGTCCGTTTCATCAGTAAATCGAAAGAGCATCATCAAAAGGCCGAAATGGATTCTCTGTTTCGTAATCGTGACCGAGCTCTATTATTGTACTAAACTCGACAGATTATCCTGAAGAATAATATGGAATAACAAGATGACTCCAAAATTATTTTATAATTTGAGATGCAGAGACAGTGTCAAATAAATAATTTAGCTTTAGCTAAATAGCTACTTCATGACGGGGTTTCGTCCTCATGGACTACCACCAGTTACCTATGGAGGCTATAGAATTCCAGGTAGAGAAATCATTTTTGTCTTCTCTTTTGTCCGTTTCTTCACCAAATCGAAAGGGCATCATCAAAAGGCCTCAATGGATGCTCTGTTTCGTACTCGTGACCGAGCTCCATTATTGTACTAAACTCAACAGATGGTCCAATCCGCGACTGTCGCAGTAATCGGAGCCGGCGTTGCCGGTCTCTGCGCTGCCCGCGAGCTTCTGCGCGAAGGCCACACGGTCGTCGTCTTCGAGAAAAGCGATCAAATCGGAGGTACCTGGAAGTACGATCCACGAACCGAATCCGACCCACTAGGCATTGACCCGACGCGGGAAGTCGTCCACAGTAGCCTATACCTCTCTCTGCGCACCAATCTTCCCAGACCGTTAATGGGTTTTCTGGACTACCCGTTTCCCGAAAATCGCGAAAATGGGGATCCGAGAACTTTTCCGGGTCACGAGGAGGTGCTCTGGTTTCTGAACAAGTTCGCTGATGACTTCGGGATTGGCGAGCTGATTCGATTCAATAGGGAGGTCCTTCGAATCGAGCGAGTCGATGCGAGGAATGACAAATGGGTTATTCAATCAAAGAGTCGTGGTGGTGATTCTTTGTTTCAGGACTTTTTTCAAGCAGTTGTTGTGTGTTCCGGTCACTTCACAGAACCAAGAATAGCTAAAATTCCAGGTAAAGGTTGGATTGGTCTGTTGATTCTAGATTGAATGTTGAGCGAGAAATGGTATAATCAGGGCATGGTTCAAATCAAATTCAAAACCTCGTATCTAGTTCGCTGCAAAAAGTTGAATTGATCAATGGGTTTTACATTTCTGTGAATCATGAGTTTCAGGCGTTGAGAAGTGGTCAGGAAACCAGATTCACAGCCACAACTACAGGGTACCCGAACCATTTCGCGATCAGGTACTGTGAAATCTATCTCATACTTTCATCCTTTCGAAGCAAGGAAGAGTTTGATGTCAATCACTGTAATTACTAATCACATCTGAGCTATTTAAAAATAAATTTAAAATTTTTTTAAAAAAATTATATATAAATCACATAGAATAAATTTATTTATAAATAATTTTTATAAAATTCAGAAATCACAATTAAGTTCATAAAACTTAAGTCTAATTTAAAATTAAACTGTGACGATAATAATATTTTTATTAAACATACATTATATATGTCAATCAAATAATTAATTGATAACTATAATTTTCACTTTTTATAATTATAATTTTATATATTCAATAATTAAGCAATCATGTGTTTCTCACAAAGTTTAACATTAATTATTTATAAATATATCATTAGTAATTTATAACTATAACCTTAATTTTTACAATTGTAACTTTACATATTAATAGTTAAAATAATTATTTTAATTATTAGATATGTAAAATTACAGTTGTAAAAAGTTAAAGTTATAATTATAAATTATTTTAATGATATGATGTATATGTTTAATAAGGGCATCATTATTTTTTTATTTTAATTTAAAATTATACTCAAATCTCAAGAAATTTAATTGTAGTTTTTGAATTTTGCAGGATTTATTTATAAATAAGTTTGTTCCACCTAACTTATATATAATTTTTTTTAATTTTTAACATGCAATTTTATAATTTAAATTTTTTTTATGGAGTGACAATTATAAAATTATCTTTATTTTAAATTACGTACCTATTAAAATAATAATTTATTAAAAATATAAAAATAAAATTATATCCAAACTGGACTGTCTCTAAATTGGTTCTCATCACTGTGGTTAGAAGCGAAACTGGATCCTTCAAAGTGACAGTGCCTATCTATTCTTCAGAATTTTTTAAGAACAGGCAATAGAACCAAGCAAGGTCATATTCTCTCTTATCAATGGAGCCTAGTTTAATTTATATTTATAAAAAATAAGAAATGATTCAAAAATAACTTCTTTTTTTAACCAGGATTCAAAAATAACTTCTGGAGATAGTGAGAAATCTTTTTTTAAAAAAATTAAACAAACATCTTAAAATATCTCAAGTATTTTAAAAAATATTTTTACCTGTAAAAAAAGTTGAAACAAACATGTTCTAACATTTCTATATTTTTTTCCTTGTTTGTGTTCTTTAAAGTGTTAGCCCGACCCTGTCTATGTTACATGGTAGTTAGGAATTGGTCAAGGGAATTGGTTGATTAGGACTTAGGAGGCCCTTGTTAGTTGTTAGGAATCAAAAGATTCTGATATATCACGTGGTAATTATTTTCACTTCCCTAGTCATTATTTGAAAATTTCCCTATTAATTAGTATCAGAATCTTTTGATTCCTAACTACCACGTCATGTATTGCATCACGTGGATTCCTCGGCTCAGAATCTGTATGGATTAAAAAGCTCCTTTATAGGTTATTTGAGTTATGATGCTTGACGTTGAGGAAAGTATATATCTTTTTTTTTATTTTCTCTTCTAACATACCCGTGAACCACTAGTATTTTGCCACTTTTTGGTGTGTGTAGATCTTGCTCATTCACCGTTTATTTTGCGATGTGAAATTTGTCATCATATGTTATTTCATTCTTGGACTTCTAATGTATTGATTCACTTCATTTTTTTCACTGTATATGCTAAAATAATCTTTTATGATATATCCAGATCTTCACAGCTCCTCTTTTTTTTTTCTACATATTTTTTTTTCATTTAATACACTGGTTCATTAAAAGAACTTCATTTGTGAAAGCACTTATTGGTGCTATGCGCATAGTTATTTTTTTCAATTTTTTTACAGCGTACTAGTATACTATATTTTAAGTAGATAGTGGATGCATATGTAGTGATAATTCATTGTTAAATAATCTCCTCCTAACAGAGCGTGGTCGTAATTGGATTTGGACCCAGTGCCTTTGATATCTCAAGAGATATTGCGAAAGTAGCTAAGGAGGTTCACATAGCAACAAGAAGTACAAATGTAAAGGCTATGAAGTTAGCCTATCATGATAATATATGGCAGCATACCATGGTATGTGAAACAATTATCCTTATGACTTATTTATTTCTAATTATAAATACGTTACATTTATAAAACAAAATCTTCTTTAGTAATGTCATTCTTGCATGCTCGACGCATGTAAATATTAGAATTTTTTCTTTTTAATTTATAAAAATTTCCTTTGACAATCTGGACAAGCCAGTGCTGCTTAATCATTTTTTCCCAGGGATAGATAGGTTGTTATATATACCTCCAATATGGAATAACGAGCAAAAGTTAAATCTAAGACACTTTTGATTCAGCTTTTTTTTCTTGTTAATATCTTGCTTATTGATCTCCATGGCCACTTTTCTTCACAGGTGAGATGTGTATCTGAAGATGGCATGATTATGTTTGAGGATGGATCATCTGTTTCTGCTGATGTCATATTCTACTGTACTGGGTCAGTATATATGTACAGTATATCATTTTCGGAAGCTATGCCTATAATGAGGACTCTTTTACTTGATGTAAGCTGTTACTTGCCTAAAAGAACCAATTTAAAGTCACTTTTTTGTGGCATTATTTTACAGATACAAGTACCACTATCCATTCCTTGAAACTAATGGAATAGTAACCATTGATGACAATCGTGTTGGGCCATTATACAAGCACGTGTTTCCTCCTGCATTAGCTCCTTGGCTCTCTTTCATCGGCATACCTGAAAAGGTCACTGGTAACTTCTTCTTTTGCTTTTCTCCTTTCCCCCCTTTCTTCAATGTAAATTGTTCTTATAATGCCCTTTGATTTTTCATAGAAGAGAGGAAAAAACTCTTCAACAAAGCATTAGTAAGTGTGTCTGATAAAAAATAGCTTGTTTTTGGAACTCCATCCATGTATAATTTAATGTATGTACATTCATATGAAGAAATAAGTCCAGCACATGTAAAGAGAACCTCATAGATAGATCATTTTATAACAGGTAAGCAGATTAATTCAATTCTTAATGAACAGGCAAACTTGCCAATTCTAGGATCCCATTGAAAAGAATGCCAAGATGCTTACATATGTGCTTATGATTGTTCGGTTCGCCTATATTTTACAGGCCTGATCTACTTACAACTTGTTCAAGATATTTTACCATAATAAATGTGTCACATTTCATTTTAATTCTATAACTGATAAGCTAAGAAATATAAAGTGACCTTTCAAACTTTGCTGTCCACCTTGATTTATACTCTGAACAGGACATCATCTTCCAAACATTGGAATTGCAATCCAAGTGGGTGGCGCGAGTTTTATCTGGTAAAGTCCCTATACCAACGGAAAAGGAGATGATGAAGTACGTTGAAGAATACTGTCAACAAATGGAGAAGAATGGGATTCCCAAGCACTTCACTCATTACTTGCATTTTAAGGAGGTATTCATGTCTGTGTTATAAAAAAAAAAAAAAAATCATGCATATTATTATTTATACAATTTTACTTGCTTGAACTTTCCATTTAACGGCATTTCCTAAAATATCAAAAGTATATATCCTAAATACCTTTAGTATTATATTCTGAAAAAGTAATCCTATAAACTATATGTCAACTATATTATTCATGTGAAAAAAAAAGGGAAAATCCCATCAAGAAGATTCATTCATCTGTGGTTCTATTTTCAAGTGTTAGCTGTATTAGATTCATATCTAATGCATGATTAGATCTTTTTAAGTAATTTGTTTACACATGTCGGTTCAGGTTGGTTTATTCGTTCGGCTGGCTTGTAGATTGAAACAAAATTATATGCACCTTGTCTCATGTCTGGAAACTTTTCATATAGATCAAATACATATGGCCATTCATAAAGTTCTGCGGAGTTCATGACTTTCTAGCCGATTAATTTTACATAATTTCAAATCCTTCTTTCAGGTTGGGTACAGCAAGTGGCTTGCTGAAGAAGCAGGGTTGCCTCCAGTGGATGAGTGGCGAGAAAAAATGTATGTAGAGAGCATCACAAAGATAAGCAACATGGAAGACAATTACAGAGACCAATGGGATGATGCTTACTGGGAAACAATCATAAAGGGTGAATCATCTCACTAGATCTGATGTTGCTGTCCCTCCAATGAGTACTATATCCGTTTTGATGAGTTTATTTCCCATATACTCATTATTGTCTCATCATCTTGATTAATATTACATTCGGGTCTATTTATAAGAAACAAGCCGTGGTTAAATAGGCCAGTAGTATTAGATGTAGGTCTAGACTCAGATGTATCTAGGATTCACTCTGGCTCTGGGGACCAAACCTTAATAAATTGTATATTGAATTTTATCTAAGTTTCCCTTTGCATTACCTTTGTTGTCTGTCAAATTGTATTCTTTCTGAATTTTCAGAACTAATGAGACACAAATGCTATAATTCTATAAAGGGTTCACATTAGGTTCTCATAAAATAAAAAGACCATACTGAAGACGCTAATCGGGTGGAGCTGGAAAATGTGTTATGTATCAGAACAGGACAAGGCGACGAATATTTTCTCTCGGCTGAAGCCACTGGTTTATCAATAAGAATATAAGAAGTGAGAGGTAGATAGATGCAATGTTAGGCGAAGAAAATCCGATTTCCAGTTTCTTTATATATATATATATATATATTTATGGGAAAACACAATCATTAGTTCTTATAGTTTTATTAATTTTTTTTTAATCTTTATAGCTTTTTTTCAGTGTTTTCAATCATTATAATCCATATAATTTAACATTTTTACTTGGGAAACAAACGTCATTCATTCTTGTTAAAGCTATAGAGATTGAAAACACTTAGAAAAAATTGTAAGAACGAAAAGCAAAATTTAATGAAACTATAAAGACCAAAGATTGTGTTTTTCTTATATTTATTAATAAAGGTTATATTAAAAATCCTTTATATCATGAATAAGCAAAAAATAGCATAATTAGAGATAGCCAAAGAGCCATCCAATCTGATATGCTAAAAAGTTAAACCAAATGCATCCAGACTCGTAAGTAATTTGGATTCATTCAGGTTATAGTCCCTTATCAATGCTTTTGTCTGTGTGGGTTGGCATTATGCAAGAGCCTGTAAAAAAGAATAAAACTACATAAAAGTTGAGGAGGGTAAAAATATATGAACAGTAGTAAGATTATGTGTACATCCTCATTCTGTAACAAAATAGCCTAAGTTTGTTTATCATTTAATCTTTTTTTTTGCTGGTCATATTGTCTGTATTTATATTTATATATGAATAAATAAACAGTATTTTGCTGAGATATTACTTGAAGGCCTCATTCAAATGTTGAAGATGCTGATCTTCAGTGGCATATTGATTTCAGAGTTGCTAGAAAGAATTGCAACCCCAATTCTTTTTGATCTCACACAATGAAATGCATTCTTCTGTACACAATCAAAACACATCACAATCAAATCCATTATTATTTCTACTAACTGTTCAACTGAGAACATGTCTCACTTGGTGCTCAATATTGCATTTCCCTGGAGGCCGTTTGCGGTACAGATCTCAGTTTTGTGAAGGAAACAACTTAGAGGAATGAATGAATTAGAAGTATAAATTGAAGCATGTGAAAAAGAAATTTCGTGAGGAAGCATTATGTTGTCATGTCCTTATCAAAATTGAATTTTTGCTCGGCATATGTACAATAATAACTTATCAAGTGAAAATCTTCACCACCCATGATTAGTACAAGAAAAGAAGTCAGCTGGCAAGTAATCTACTTGAGAGTAGGGGGAAAAATGAAAAATTCATATGCAATATGATGCTGCCAAGTGCCAAAACCAATAGTCAAAAGGTACATCAATATGTATATATGTATGTATGTATTTATAGGATGAGTGTCTCTATAGTAAGGAAGGAAAAATAGGATTGGTAGTAAGTAGGTGTTTCTTTCTATTTTACATCAGAAAAAGTTAAATTTAATGTAAAGAAAAGACTTAAATTTAAATATTGAATTTAGATGCGTTGTGATTGTGCTATTTTTTTATGCATTTATTCTCTTGTTGCATTTTGGAGGGTCGCTCTCATTTCCAACCAAATGAATAGAATGCTTATTATTTTCAATTTTTTTCTTTTCAAGTAACTTCTCAAAATCGTTTTGTCTTTTTCAACAGATTAACATGCCATGGAATTTTAAGAGGTAAGTCACATCAAAATTCTTATGGTTGTGAAGATGCATTCTCCACGTTACCACTTGTTGGGTAAATTGTCAAATTAAGGACGGTAGGTCATGTCAAAAACATGTCAGTTCAGAGGTATTCCTTAACCCCCATGAAAAAGGAAAGTTGTGGGTTCCATTATTAGGTGGCTAGGAAAATTATTGTTGGAAGAAACGCACAACAAGCCTTAAAATAACAAAAAATTTTACTTGGAGCCTAATACATTTTAATATTGTAATGCAGGTTCAAGGATTCTTATTGTAATTTTTTTTAGAGTAAAAATATAATTTTGTTCTTATGTAATTTTAAAATTCAAATTATGTACAACACAATATTCACAAATGCACAACACGATATCCATGTATGTCCAGTTGATTTATAAGTTATAATATACATCACATAGATCATGTAAAATACAATGTCCATGAATGTATAACATGATATTTATAAATTCTCAACATAATGTCCATATATATCTAATTGATCTATAGATTAATTAAAATAAAGTCATATAAAGCATATACAATATAATATTCATGAATGTACAATACAATGTTCATAGAACCTCGACACAATTTTCATGTGTGTCCACACATGGACATTTAGTTGAAAATGCATAAACATCATATTGTACATTATGATTATTGTGTTGCATATTATCTATGTCACTTGTATATTTTATTAAACCTAGTTATCAACCAAACAAGCATGGACATTGGGTTGTATATAATTTAAGTTTTCAAATTATATAATGGCAAAATTATGCTTTTGCTCCCCAAAAGAATTGCAATAAAGGTCTTTGGGCTTGTAGTGTGATAATAAATATATTGGACCTGCAATGCAATTTTTTACTCTTTTTGAGGCCTGCAGTGTGATTCCTCCAAAATTATTATTACTTTTATGTGCGTGTGCTTGTGTGTAGTTACACTTGTATGAACGCCCCCTTTTTTAAAGAATGGCTACTTAGGATACTTAAAAAAAAAAATGCCAGGTCATGATTTGTGCATTTATTTTTATTTTTCTGTTATTTTCCATTGTTTTCAAATTATAATTCAATGTTTATTTATTTCACCTTTCAAGCAATAATTTAATTTTGAGAGTGAACCCATCAAGTCATTGGAGAATGTAAGATAAGATTCTTTTGTTGATTTTTTTGGAAATTCAAGATTTTGAGGGTGAAGCCTCATTTTTCAAGTTCAATAATGTTAAATGAATGTAAATGTCTGAAGAATTTCATTAAAATTTCATCCCAAAAACCCCCCAAAATTTTTTTTTTGCAAAAGAATATATAAAATAAGGAAAAAAATCCATTTAGTCAAAAAAATCTTTTATAATTGGGATTCATGTTTATAATTGTCTAAATTATCATTTATAATTTATTTTTAAAAAAATTATCAAGAATTTAATTGTTATAAAACTTTTAATTTAATACTTTATTATCATTCTTCCATTATTAGAGATGGGGAAGGGGGGGAGAGAAGCATTGCGTGAGATCAGAGAAAAATGAAGGCCAATTTTAAAAACAAAAAATAAATATGGTGGGAGAAAATGTTGAGGAGGAGGAGGTTGGTGCAAGAAAATGAAAGAGAAGGATGAAGTTTCATCTTTTTTCCTTGTTTTGTCCAAGCCCTGCAAGGACAATTATTATTTCATAAAAGGCAAGTTATTCATGTGCCAGTTTTTTTTTCCTAGTAAAATAACAAATTTGATTATGAATTATTTTTTTAAGAATATTTAGTGGTCTAAACTATTAAGTAAGGTGAAATAAACTCTCAACTTTTAAAAATAATACATTTAGTAACCTGCTGTTAATTTCATCTAATGGATGTTATGTAATGCTCATAATGACACGTAACACTTCACATTAACATGTGTAATGGTATAAATTTAGTCACAAATTATTTTTTGAGGAGCACCAAGTCACCTTTACTATAAAAAAAAAGACTATCCAACACATTTTCATTAATTTTGATTAAATACTATTTACTTTCATATTTATAAAACCCATAATGTGTCAATCTTCCCAATTTTCTTAACATTCACAAATATGATGCAAGCAAAGTAGAAGAAATGATTTATAATTAAATCAAGCTAGAATCAAACTTCTCTCACACGTAGTAAAATCAAACTTTTACTTTATTAACATTATCCTCATAAATGTTTTCAGATAAGAATTTTTTGAATATCTTTTTCTCGAACTAAGACTGAAAACAAAGGCAAGAAAATTAGAGAAATTAACACATTGTGAGTCTCATAATTATAAAAATAAATAATATTTGATCAAAATTGGTAAGAAGGTATTGGATGGTTCAATTTTTACAGAAGAAACTATCCAATGTTCCTCAAAAAATAGTTTGTGATTAAATTTACACATTTATACATGTTGACATGTCATGCTTGCAAAGTGACACTTATTATCATGGGCTCCACATAATATTCGTTATGTAAAGTTAATGACGAACTAATAGATGCTTCATTTTTTAAATTAAGAGTTTATTTCACACCACTTAATAATTTATGTCACCAAATACTTCTGAAAAAAATAATACATGATTAAATTTATACTTTTATTCTTTTTTTTCTATTTCATTTAATGTTTATCGGAATTCTTAGCTTTTAAACTCCCCTTTTCTTTTAGAATTCTTGCCAACTTTTGCGTATCGTAAACTGATTTTTTTGATTAATTGATTTTTTATAAAAAAAAGTTAACCAATTATTCCCTCTAATTCAAAATATGAGCATTTTCACTTAGTTAATATTAGTTCAAAATTTAAGCAACCTAACGTATACAAAAATAATTTATTTTACTCCTTTTATTTATTAACATAATTTTTTTTTGTAAAGTCATCTCTCATCTAACATAAAATGTATTGGCAAAGTTATCTCTCATTTATCATAATTTTTTTTAAATGAACGTTTTACATCAGGTGCGTCAGACATTCACTGTAGAAAAGGCAATTTAAAAAAAATTAAAAGCAAGCACCTAATGTAAAAATTGAGTTGAATTTTTTTGTTAAAAAAAAAATGCAAATGACTTTTTACATTGGGTTCCTTGATATTCAATTAGAAAGTAGGCTTTTTACATTGTTTTCGAGAGCACCCATATAAAAATACTAGCAATCAATGACAAATATTATAAAAATATTATCACCTTAATTTTTTATATTGTCTGCCTTTCAATTGATGAAGACAGTCCAATATAAAATTTTTATTTTGTAATGGTTAGAATTATTTGTGGAAGACTTTGCCTAGATCTGGTTCGAGTTTCTGTCGACTTTGGCAAAAGAAAGATGAGGATGAGGATAATTTGATCTTTTAGTTTCTCTTTATTTTGTTTTCATTTGAGTTTTATTTTCTTATTCTTATATCATACCAAATATATTTTTAAATTCCGCTCTTATTTTTAATCCTTTAAAATTTATTCTCATGTGCCAAACAAAGTCTAAAATTTTTAAATACAAATATCAGTAAACTTGAATGGCTGTAGGAAACCTCATATTAAATAAAGTTGAATTCAATAATTATAGACTTAAATTTTGAATTAATAATTTAATATAGTGTTTTTTTTAATTATTTATTGCCCATTTGTTCTCAATCCATTTTTAGGCAGTGACTCCCTATTTCTGACTGAATGAGTAGGAATAGGATGGTGCTACTACCTTTTCTTTTCTTTTTTTTCATTCCAAGTAACTCCTCAATGGAATTGAGGGGCAAGGCACATCTAAATATCAAAATTCTCATGGTTGTCAAGACTCTTTCTCCACATTACACTGGCTAGGTAAGTTGTCAACACTCGACAGATACGGATCCTAGGTCATGACTTGTGTTTTTTATTTAATTTTTTTTATTTTTCTGCTTTCCATTGTTTGTTTTTAAGTTCAAAATCAGAAGTACCTTCCTGTTTCTTTCTTTCTTTTTTTAATAATACACCAGAAATATATAGAGGAGCTTTAATTTGCATGATTTGTTCATAACAATTTCTAGCTTATTTTTGGGGAGAGATTACAAGAGCTATATAAGTTATTCTAAACAGATAAGTTTCGAAGATGGAATAAAAAATTTTCAAGTTATAATTCAAAATCCATTTATTTGACCTTTTAAGCAATAATTTAATTGACAGTGAACCCATCAAGTAATTGGCCGAACAATGTAAGATGAGGATTTTTTTCTTCCTTTTTGGAAATTCAAGATTTTGAGGGTGAAGCCTCATTTTACAAGTTCAACAATGCTAAATGAGTGTAAATGTCTGAAGAATTTCATTAAGGTTTCATCCCAAAAATGAAAAAAAATTACAAAAGAATACACTCTCTCTGTTCAAAAGTGTAAGGTATTTTTTGAGGAGTTGAATATTAAAAAATACAAAGCATTTTTAATCTTTCAAGGTATAACCATTACCTCCTTTTTAAAAATATCCCTATTGATAAATAATTTTATATTTATTGTAGAATATTTAATAAAGGTATATATAAAAAGATAATGTTAGTTTAAAAATAAATAATTACTTTATTAAAGGATGAGATTTGATTAAAAATATTTTATATTTTTAAATTAAGAGAGTATAAAATAAGGAGAAAAAATCCATTTAGCCAAAACAAAACCCAAAAAAAAAAATGCTCCTTGAAGTGGGTCTCCGGACTCGTTGAGTTCCTTGACAATAAGCAGAAACCACCTGGAACTGGAATGGATGCCTAATGACTATTTTGCCCTCACTTGAAAGAATATATAACATCCATACCATTCACAACACTGCATATATCTGACAACCCTCTATAAGCGGGGAGGAGTTTATCCATTTTTTTCCCTTCACTTTCCTCCACTTTTTTCATTCTTATCATTTAAATTTTTTTATTAAATAATTTTTTAAATGATAAAATTAATGAATGATAAAAATGGAGGAAGTAGAGGAAAATGGAGAGAAAAGAAGTGGAAAGACCCTCTCCTGCAAGCTCCTCTCTCTACATTTCTAAAAAGATTTGGAACATTTATAATGATTCAGATTAATATTTAATTTAAACTGTTAAATATATTATCTCAATTTAAATATGATTAAATATGATAAAATAAAAAAATATGTGCGTACCTAAAGAATTCATAATCATTTATTAAAAATATTCCAATCACCTCGAGTGTAGACAGATGCACAATCCACTAAATCTCAAAGTCTTCAGAAAGTACAGAGATAATAGAGTAGACAAAAATGTATCATATGTTTTGTAATTATCAACTGATTGACTTCTAAGGATCAGATCAAAAATTAATTTATTAAATAATTATATTTTATTATCTTTGACTTAGTCAGTTAAGAGATAAAAAATAACTGACGGTTACTGAATTGTGAGTTGGGCCTCTACCCATTGAACTCACTTGTGTGGTTCACCTATACGGTTCACACAAAATTATAATGACTAATTTATTTAGACTTATTAATTAATATTAATTCATATAAATATTCCAACATAAACATCTATAAAAATTAGAAGAAAAATTAATACATCTAATCACCCATTTGCACAGTCTATACAATAAGGGATATTCAAATTTAATATTGATTTTTATAATTTTGTAAATTTACTATCCAAATTAATCTAAACTGTGCAATTCAATATTAATTTTCCTACAATTTTATTTAGTAATACAATATTAAAATAGAGATAATCTTCTAACATGCATTTTCAAAAAATATTTATTAAGAATTTACAAGTTAAAAATTTTAAATACGCACTGGTCACATTATAATATTATATTTTAGATTGTCAATTAATAAAAATTATGAAATTTTTAATATTAAATTTATAATGTTCAAAATGATTATCAAATTTATTAAAAAATTTTATTTTAATAAAATTAAAATATTAAATTTGGTGATTCAAATCTCCTTGAAATTGCAGATGAGGAGGAGAGAAACGGCATCCGGCATGTCAACTCACCACTCATTGCCTCACAATTCCCAAGAAGAAATTTATCAGATCGAGTACTTTCATGAAATTTTTAAAAAAAAAAATTGTAAATGTTACTAGTTTGGATAGTTAAAAATTTATAAGTTTTAATTATAAATAAAATATTTAAATTTTTGAAACTCATTATTTTTAATTAGGATTCATATTTGTAAGTGTCTGAATCACTATTTACAATTTACTTTTAAAAAAATCAAAAATTTAATTGTCATAATTTTTTAATTTAAGACTTTATTATTATTCTCTAATTGATAGAGGTAGGGAAGGGGGAGAGAAAAGCATAGTGTAAGATCTGACTAAAATCAATGCCAATTTTAAAAAACAAACAATAAATATGGTCAAGTTAATAATTCGATCTAGCCAAAAAAAAATTAAGATCAGACTTAATTATATAGGCTTTTTTAAGAGTCTAAAATATTTTAAACTCGATTTAAATAAACTTGATTTAAATTAAACTCAATCCAAATAAGTTTAACTATTAAAGTTTTCAACTCTACATGTATGTAGAGTAGGTAATTTTAATCAAGCCCAACAGATTGGTCTAAACCAAGTAAAAAAAATTAAGATTGAGCTTGATTATATAAATTTTTAAACATCAATTTAAATAAGCTCAATCTATCCGAGTTACCTACTTTTGACACAGGAGGAGAAGGAGGCTACTACCAGAAAATGAAGGAGAAAGCAGGGCTGTGCAATAGGCGGGACGGGTTGGCCCGTAAGGCTGCCTGTAGCCCGTCCCGTTTTGTCCAAAACGGGCTGGGCCAGCCCGTACCCGTTTGCAGCCCGTTTCAACCCGTTTAAAAACTAGCTGGGCGAGCTGCAAATGGGTCTGGGCGGGCTAGCCAGCCCGTTTTAGACAAATAGCCCTCAATTTGCCTTAAAATAAAAAAATATTGTATGCTTTAAAATTCTTGTAATTCTACCTAAAAATAGTTCAAATATCACCATCATCAAAGGAAATAAACTCTAATATTAGCAGTTACATATTACAGTCATCCAAGGCACCAAGCATCATCAGTCTTCAAAATACAACATTAATCAAATCAAAGTAACCATACAAATTGACAAATGGTCTTGCCACAAGGCACAAGCAAAAAGCAACAATCCAACACAAATAATCTTGTCACAACTCACAAGCCAACAAGGCAACAAAACAATCCATCACATATTTAATTTTGCATTAGATCGTCGTCATCATCGTCGTCGTCATCTTCAGAATCATTAGAGATGGTTGAATGTTGAGCCCCTGATTCTTCCTCTACAAAACAAATTAAGAAAATTATATTCATTAATATTTAAACAATGTAAAGTAATATAAAGTGAAAATGTTAATGAAATTACCAATAACAAGATTGTCAGACTCACCAAAATTATCAACATCAAACTCTTTCAATTTGAAAATAGGTTAAGAAAGCCAACTTTGAGCACAAATGAGTGCCTCCACCATTTTTACAGAGAGGGAGCTCTTAAAAGTATCCAGTACTTGACCTCCCGTACTAAAAGCAGATTCTGAAGAGACAGTAGAGACAGGTGAAGCCAACACATCACGTGCAATCAAACTCAAGACCTTATACTTGAAAGCATTCACTTTCCACCAAGCTAAAACATCAAACTTTGGATCGCGAGAAGCAACTAACTCAGCGTGAAGATATTCATCCACTTCTAAATTTTTTCCTCTTGGCGTTCAATGCTTGCAATTGTATAGAATTGTTTCATTGTTTCATCATCCATGACTGCCAAAACATCATCATCGGGAATTGAATCTTGATTCTCCCCAACATTGTCATCATCGTGTTCTGATCTTGCTTGAGATTGAGAAGCTTTACTATCAAAGACATCCTTTGAATATTCACCATATAAGCTATATAAGACATCCATGATATTTTTTGTAACTAGCTCACGTTGTATAGGCTCAGAATACATATTTTCCAAAGCAACTTGGACATATTTAAATTTATATCTAGGGTCTAATATCACTGCTATCACCAACAATGGATTCATGCTATCTGCCTTACCCCAGTATTTATCTAACTTACTTTGCATTCTTCTCACCATGTCACCCAATAGAGCACTAGAATTAGTTGTACTTGTCTTAAGCTTGGTTTGTATTGCAACTATTTGCTGGAAACATGTGTTAGATGTCACAAAATTTGATGCAGAAAACTTCAATGTCGTGGAGTAAAATAGCTTCAAAAAGACTATAAACTCTTTTGCAACACCCCAATCATATGGACTAGGAGGTTCTTCTTCAACTTTCTTTTTAAAGTATTCATTGTAATCTTCATCTTCTTCTTCCATCTGATCAAAAACTTTAATGAACTTCACAGCATTTTCCAACATCAGATATGTTGAATTCCACTTAACAACATAAAAAAAGCTCGATTAATAATAAAAAAGTAAATATAAATTAACAATTCATAACAATAATTAAAATTACCTAGTGGGACAATCCATACTAAGTAGACTTTTTGAATCAATTCTTTGCTTTCTCATGAGCTCCTTGAATTTATGTAGCCTAGCCGGAGAAGATCTAACAAATTTTATCGCATGCCGAATGAGTTCAATGGACTTATTCATCTCTTTCAATCCTTCAGAAACAATCAAATTTAAAATATAAGCAGCACACCACATATGCATATACTCTCCATCACATATAAGGCCATTCCATTCCCTCAAACATTTTTTTAAATATGCAATTGCAGTGTCATTGGAAAAAGCATTGTCAACTGTAATTGTAAATACTTTGTCAATACCCCAACTAAATAAACATCCCTCAATTTCCTTCCCGATGGTATCTCTTTTGTGGTTTTCAATTACAGAAAAATTCAAAATCCGCTTTTGTAATGTCCAATTCTCATCAACCCAGTGAACAGTCAAATACATGAAGTTGGCATTTTGGATTGAAGTCCAACAATTTGTGGTAAGGGACACACGAACTTTAAATTTCTTAAAATATTTCTTTAGATGTCTTGCTTCTTCAAGATACAACTTGTAACAATCCCTAGCAACTGTCCATCGTGAAGGGATTTGAAATCTAGGCTCAAGTCCGTGCAATAGTTCTTTAAAACCCTCCCCTTCCACAACTCGAAAAGGCATCTCATCTTTTACAATAAATTTAGCAAGATCCTTCCTGCACCTCTCTTGATTGAACAATTGTGTAGACATTGTTTGGCTACAAGTAACAAAGAATAAAGATTGTGTCATCTTGTTGGCTTTGTTTGGATTCTTTGGGCACTTTTCAAAATGCCGCCAAAGTACTTTAGTCCTATGGTTCGAAGGATAACTCGCATAATCCATGCCATAATAATTGCATTTGGCATGGTGCTTCCCTTTAGTTTGCTCAAGTGGCATCCTTGTAAAATGCTTCCAAGCTTCAGATCTTTACTTCTTCCTTTTCCTAGCCGGTGCTTGTTTTTGTCCCTCATTATTTGTGGCATTCTCACTGTAGTAACTGTGTGATTTCAAGCAGCCACATAATTTCATAATAGAGTTCTCATATCACCTGATCTTCTTACAGTGGCTTACAGGCACATCGACACTGCTTGGGAATATGGTGTTCAAGAAATTAATTAACTACAACAGGTTAGACACGCAAGCAATACTGGAAATTGGAAAGGAAGGATTTGTTTGTCACCTCTAAACTCTGTTAATGAAATCTATTGGTGGCATATCCAATTCAGTTAAACTAATTCACAGCTAAGAGCAAAGGCAGAGTTGCTGAGTCAAATAATCATCACTATAATGTTAATAACTTACTTGGTCTTAGCTTGGCAGGAAGACACGCACAAGATTGAATCAGGGAGTGAGCAAGCCAGCGAGGCAGCAAGATATTGTGACTAAGCGACTGAGCAAGATTAATTATATCATACACAAATATCATATAAGAAAGAAATTACAAGTAATTAATATAGATTAGTGATTAATCATACTTGGAAGATATTTCTAAAAAGCATGGTAGCGACTGTGAGAAAGAAGAATCCTTCAAAAGGAATTCTCAAAAGCTTACCCCACAGCCTTGTGGCCCAGAATCCTTGGAAACACTCTAGAAGACAAATTTCCTCTACGACTGTGAGAATGCGAGATTGGAGCTGTGGAGGTATGCGACTATGTCTATGAGTCTGCCCGAGTGCCCTCTGCCGCTCTGCGTTTACGAGTCTGGCTGTCTGAGTGAAGCTGCGGCTGCCTGGTCTGCCGTCTGCGAGAAAGAAGAATCCTTCAGAAGGAATTCTCAGAAGCTTACCCCATAGCCTGATGGCCCAGAATCCTTGGAAACACTCCAGAAGACAAGTTTGCCCTACGACTATGAGAATGCGTGATTAGAGCTGTGGAGGTATGCGACTATGTCTATGAGTCTGCCCGAGTGCCCTCTGCCGCTCTGCGTTTACGAGTCTGGCTGTCTGAGTGAAGCTGCGGCTGCCTGGTCTGCCGTCTACGTGCGATGATTTGCGAGGGAGAGGGACCGAGTCTGAGGGTTTTGATTTCAGCATTGGCAGGAAATGGCATTTGGAAAACCGCAGAAGGCAAAACACAGCATGCCAGCGTCCTGCTTCACTGTTTACTCTTCTCTGACAGTCAGTGTTTTAATAAAAAATAATTTGCAAATTTTTTTAATTATTACGGGATGGGATGGGTTGCCCGGTGGGAACCCGTAGCCCGTCCCGCCCGTATATCTTATTAATGGGCTAGCCCGTAATTTTAGCCCGCCTATTTTTTTGTTAAATGGGCGGGTTTTTACCCGCTCATTTTTAACGGGTACAAGCGGGTCGTGCGGGTTGCAGGTTGCTTGCTCAGCCCTAGGAGAAAGGTAAAGTTTATCTTCTTTTTTTTCCCTGTTTAATGCAAGGACAAATATCAGTCCGTAAAAGGCAAGTTATTCATGTGCTAGCTATTTTTTCTGCTATTCCATTTAATGTTTCTCAAAATTTTAAGCTTTTCAACTGCCCTCTTGTTTTAAATTTCCTGTAAACTTATGTGTTGTAAATTAATTTCTTTTTATTTATTGATCTTTATAATAAAATATTGACTAATTACTCGATTCCTTTAATAATATAAGACACTTTAAATTAAATTGTTCCTCATGAATTAAAAAATATTTTTAGTTGCACTCTTAATTAAAAGTATTTAAAAAAATTAATTAATTATACATTAAAAAATTCAAAATGTCTTATATTTTATAAGACACATCCAACCACCTCATCAAAATCAAGTGGATTCTATATAAACCCTCATCCTTTATTTGTTGGCATGTTTCCGGTGTTCTCTCTTTTTTTCCATACCTAGGGTTAGGGTTGGTGTTTGGTGGTGTGTAGTTTGTTTTTCTATGGGCTGTTTAGGGCTTTTGTTAAGAAATTAAGATCCAAAAACTGAGAAAATTTGGCAACGGAAATAAGCACTTATTTTTCACAAATGAATTACTATTTCTAACGTATTTTTAGAGGAAATCTTTTAAAAACTTGTCTATCATTAATAAATTTATATAAATTATTAAATTATTTTTGTTAAAAATAAAATAATTTATAAATTTTATTTAAATATTTACAATTCTTTTTATTATATTCATAATAATGCAACAATAAATAAAAAATTTAACATGTTATACTGTTATAAATATAAAAAAAATTGTGATTATTTAAACAAAATTTATGAATTTTTTTATTTTTAATAAAAATAATTTAATAATTTATATAAATTGATAGAAAAAATTATAAAAAATAAAATTATAATATTTTAATAGATTAAATTATTATTTATATATTTTAAAAAGCATATTCCCAACTTTCATGTCAAACCGACCTTTAGCTTTTGCAACAAAGGAAAACGTGACACGAGACACGTGTAGCGGTACCATTGGGGTGAAGTGACTGGTGATTCACAGAGCACGAGAGCCGAAACGCAATGCGGAAAGGAAAGGTAACATACGCAAGGAATCACATGTGGGGTCTGAGGAGTGAAAATAAAAGAGGGTGGGAAAGCGTACACTAGAGTTTGTTCAATTCCCTAGGAAGCGGCCACACCACACGAGGCCTCTCTGGTCCGTAGGATTTAAAGTGCATTAAATAGTGCGGATGTGGGCAGTAAAAAGAGAAAAACAAAAATTTAAATACTTCCTCAATTTTTATTTATAAAAAATACTACTCCCTCCATTTAATTTAAATATAAAATATTTTTAATTAAATCTCATTTTAATAAAATTATTACTTATTTTTAAATTAATTTTATATTTTTATATTTATTTCTATTGAATACCCTACAATAAATATAAACTCATTATCAATACAGATATTTTTAAAAAAGTAATGATTATATCTTAAAAGATTAAAAATATTTTATATTTTTTTTAAAAAAAGTATCATTTTTAACTTATTTTTATATAAATAAAATTACATTTTTTAATAAATATTTGTTATAAACTTTCTAAATTATTCCTTATAATTTTATCATTCATAATCATAAAAAATAATTAATAAAAGCTTGATTAAACACAATTAATGAAAGGTATTACAGTTCAATTCTTTTATTTTCAAAATAGTTAATATAGTTAACTAATTTTTTTCAAATTATGTGATATAGTTTTTTTCTCTTAAGAATAAAAACATAAAGAGTATATATTTTACTATAAAAATAAATTCATTAAAAATGAGAGTAAATGAGCAAATTCTTCTCTCAAGTCTCAACTTTTAAAAACAATATAATATGATTTTTATTATTAATAGAAGTTAATTTTAAATATTAGTTGATTAGAACATAATCTTAAAAATTATAGAAACAAACCCAAATTTTTTTGTCTCTTTCTTTAATTTTTTGGGTCTTTGTATTTAATTTTTGAATCTTTTATTGTGGCCATGTTTGATAACATTGAATTGGTAAGGTAAAAATGGAATTAAAGATGAAATCCTAATTTAAACATGATTGGTATGCAAGAATTATAATTTTTAAAAATTTTAATTCCATCAAAAATGCTAGAATCCAATTCCATCATATTGATCATGGAATTGCTTCAATTCTCTTGAATTCAATTTGTGGACCCCACTATCTTCTTTTTTTTTTTATCCATTTATAATAAGAAAGGTCTTTTTAATTTTTAAAAAAGGGCAATTTAGTTTTTTTCTATTTTAAGTACCTATATAAATTAATATTATATTAGAATTTCATTTTCATACCAAACACACTTTTAAAATTCAATTTTATTCCAATTTCAATTCTGATTTTGATTCCGATTCCATTAAAAACTCTTCCATCATACCAAACGAGGCCTGTAATTTTTTGTCCTTTTCTGCAATTGGAAGGGTCATTTTTTAATTAATTAATGATAAGAGATAACTTTCATTAACAGCAAAAGT